AAGTACAATAATTTCAAAAGTGAATTAAAAACACTATCAGTAGTTAAAAAGATATGATGTGTTATGATAACCTGCATGTGACTTGATCCATAATAAATACTGAATTAAAAACAGTATCAGTAGTTAAAAAGATATGATGTGTTATGATAACCTGCATGTAGACTTGATCCATAATAAATACTGAATTAAAAACAGTATCAGTAGTTAAAAAGATATGATGTGTTATGATAACCTGCATGTGACTTGATCCATAATAAATACTGAATTAAAAACAGTATCAGTAGTTAAAAAGATATGATGTGTTATGATAACCTGCATGTGACTTGATCCATAATAAATACCTAAAAATGCAGCCTCAATCAAAATATTTTCTGTAATTAATAACAAAGTTACTAATTTGGTGATTAATAATGAAAGTTTCTAGAAAAAAAATAGTAAATGTCCTGTCATACGAGACACAGCCCAGTTAACTCCTTTAAAATAATTTATAAAACATCAACTTTTCTTTTGCTATCCTTTGGATATATTATATGGTGCCATAATTGTATTTTTGTTGCATCCAGAATTGGAACTTTTATATTTAAAATACAACCACACTGGAAACTTAGGAAAGCAAAATGTACGTTACATGTAACACAAGCAAAAAGTCTTAAATAAAACTGACAGAACTTCCAAAATACGTGCTTTTAATGATTTTCATTTTCACATTTAGTTTCCAAAATTAATGTGAATCAAAAGCCAAATATCTGAACACCAATTCATTGTGTGTTTTGTTCGAAAATATAGTACAATTCTAAATTTGAAAACACTGATACTCTTTAACATTAAGAATAGGACACAAATTATATCTTAAAATAGTATCATTATTTCAGCCATAAGAATATTGCATTCAAGTTTGGTTACATAACTTAAATTCCTTAACATTTTGAAATTATTAACTTAATGATCTCTCATCTCTCTTGGTTGCAATATTTGAATTTTTACACTTTTTCAATGACAACAATCTCCAAATAGCATCTGCTACATTTATAACACAAAAACAAATCTTTAAAGGGTATTAGACTGAAATGAGATGGTACCATATTGTGACTTATCTCCAAATGCATTCCTCCATGGTATAAACCGGTTTCCACTGTTTCCTGGTGTCTTTGGTGTTTTGGCTTGCCCTGGAGTACATTTTGATTTTCCTATGGAAATGTGCATTACAACACAAAAAATTAAATAAGGTATAATAAGGATATCCTTAAAATTTTATATCTTTGTGAAAACATTCACAACAAAAGTAAGATAAATTTAGTTCCTAATTTCATGACTCACTGCTCTACTGTTTCCCTTAAGTGGTAGCTCCTACATAAAATAATGTAAGTGTTATGCTGATAAAAACTCAAATGGTGTACAATTTGAAAAACATGGAATAATTACTTTAGTAATAAATTCAGTTAATAATATTATACTTTCTAAATGCTTGAATTATCTAAGCTAGGTAAACAGTTTACAGAAATATTTACTTGTAAGACGGAACAAATTTGTACTACATCTCCTTGAATAAGTGATATACGTAAATTAACATAACAAGTAAAACACATTACTACAGGTTGGCAGTTTGAATAAGTCACCATCAAGAATTAATGGTCTATGTATTACACACAGTATTTAAAGTTACCATAGAATCAGACTGGCATAGTAAAGGGAACAATAATTTAACTTCTTCACTGTCACATTTATAGATAAACAATTCTCCCAATGACACATTTATTTAAAACACAAACCCATAAAAATAAACAAAATGCATTATAATATTTCATTATGTATCTAAAACTTGAAATTGGTAAACTTTTGGGAAGTTTAACGAGGAACAGCCTTTTTCTATAATGGTACAAAATTTCTAGCTCACACCTTTAAATGCTAAAACAAGATTTTTTTTTTAGTATGTTGTATATGTGTGTCCATGATAATGTGCCCTTGGCAGTGAAAGAGTTAAAAGGAAAAAATTTATAGCCATTAGTATGGGCTATTGGCAGAATAAAAGAAAAGAAGTAACTGCAATAGAAATAATTCTTATTCACACATCTAAAATAAGTAAAATTAACTAGTACAGTAAAACTTACCTGGTGTCTTTTGTGGTTTTTTTTAGGGAGTTTTGCTAAGATTAGTTGGATACTGATTAGTGGTGGATAGTACAGATTGAGATAAGCTGGAAGTGAGATTTTGTAAAATATTTCAAGAACTTTCAGCACTTGATGTAGAATTCTCTATAACTTTAAGTTTCCATCGAAGTATTGACCCCTTGGTGATGGTCTCATTCCTTGGCAAAGCACTGTGTATCTTTTTTTTCCAAAGCAAAATGGGTTACTTGAGGCAACATCACAAAGAGCTGTCTAACTTGCCAAGAAGAAATAGTTGGTCTTCACACTAAATGAAATGTTTCTGTATAACACAAAAATAATGAACATTAGCAACCAGCCAAAAGTCACACAGGTGTCTAGAACATTTTCCAAATTTGTATCAATAATAATTTTTCTGTTTAAGTATCTTTTACAAACTATGCATTATCAAATCAGTTAAAAATATGAATCACAAATAGAATTAAATTCTGAGAAGAGAAAGTTTTGATTATATTATTAATAATACCTCCACACACCTTTCTTATATTACTGTCTTTTCTTGTCCCAATATCTTAGTATGATTTAGAAGAATTATTTCGTCTAGTAATTCTGTCACCAGTACTAATACAATGAAAATGGTCAAGTGCACTTGCCTATGATGAATACACATACACCCAGGTCCGCCAACAGGGAAGGGGGAGGGGGCAACTGCCCAGGGGCCCCGGCAAATGAAACCTGGTTATGCTGTAAAGCCCGCAAAGCATCTTTAGGCTATATCTTCATTTAATGATAAAACCATAGTTTTTGGCTCTTCTTTGCATATAGATGCTTGATACATTAAGAATGACTGAAATAATAATTTGAGTAATAATTAATATGTACTTATTACTTTATAGATTTAATAGATATTTTTTGTTACTTTATTAACGTTTTTATGTTTATACTGTGAGGTAAAAACGGCTGCTGCTATGATTTTGTCTGGTTTACGAGCTCGTTGCTGTCCTAATTTAGGATCTTCTTTTTAATAAATTCTTGAAAATGTTAAAAGAGAGAGAGAGAGAGAGGGAGAAAGGGGGCCCAGTGAGGATGTTTGCCCCGGGGACCGTGCTGGCTCTCGACGTTCCTGCATACACCTTCAACATCATTATAAGTACCTACTTTCCATAACTTACAACTTTACACAAGAAGTTTAGAATCATACATTTCTTACCATGTATTAAGAGGAGATAGTATTTTAATGTTATTATAGGTTATAAAACTTTACCAATGAAGAAAAATTTAATTTATGTAATACAGTAATATTTTAAAAAACCTTGGGTTTTATGGACATCTGAAAATACAAGGAGACAGAAAAGCCACTTGGATCCCCAAAGTAATTCCTCCTCCTATTTAAAACAACTATCATATGAGTTTAACATCTTGCACAGAAGTAATTTTGAAAAAACAAGAAGCTTGTTTTGGACTTACAAATCTTATATTTTTTACTCTCTTCCAATTTATTCATTCTATAAATTAAACCTTTCATTGTGCTTTAATAAATTTTAAGTCTTTAAAACTTAAAAAAAAAAGTTACTGCAATCTTTCGATTATAATTATGCTTCCAAAAATAATATGTACTCAAATCTTCACGAACAAAAAGTCAAATGTGCCTTATTACCATAAATAATATGAACCTAGATTTTTGCAATACTGTGGTCAAAGTAGCCCTTTGATGACAAGAATGTTAGAGTGTCTATACAATTTCTACTTGCACATTAGCCATGATGCTTGCTATCTTTACAATCGTGACTGGCAAATAAACATTGACAAAATGTTACAGTATTTTTAAAATAGCTAAAAGCAAGTTTGTCATGGTACTTGCTAGTTTGCTACAGTAGCCGGCAAATAAGCATTCTCAAAAACCCATTTACAGCCAGTGTTCACATTCATGGCCCTCAGCAACAGCTTTGTTACAATGGGGTAGTTTGTTCTGAAAGATTTCTTCCCTGCATGTATGTAAAGATGGCAGTTTTGATTTTATAAAACGGATTTAAAAATACACTTTCTATTGGTTATAAATAATGTAGTATAAAACATCAGAGAGAACTATTGGCAATTTGGGAAAGAGATGTACCAGGTGAGCATGGCATGCGAGTTTTATTTTCTAGTATATTTCTCCATAAACAAATAAGACTGAAGGCTATAAAAATTGGGCTTTGCCTGAGTAATATCTATATTATAGTGAGTAATAGTGGTATATAAGGCAGGATTCTTGGTACTGGTGTCGTGAGTTACATATTTCAACTGTTACGATGGTAGCAAAACGAGCGAGCTACACAGCAGCCTTCAAACTTAAAATGATAGAAGTTGCTGAAAACCATGATAAAAGGTCAGCAGCTTGGGAATTTGATATCAATGAGGCAAACATTTGGCTTTGGCAAAAGTCAGAAGGTAACCAAGACAAGTATCCTGAACAGGGAAAGCTCAGCACCCACAGTTTGAGCAAGTGGATGTGCAGTCAGCACTGTGAAAATTTGTTTGTAAGCCCATCATATCATGAAAGGCTTGGATCCCAGTAGCACCTTTAAAACATTTCCAAAGTGGCAATACCTCTTCATGCAAAGGCATGACATATCCATACATCAATGCACATCAATTGTGCAACTCATGATTTTGAAGTATCAGCATTACATCATAAGGATGCAAATGAAACACTATTATAGAATTTCTCGTATTGCCAATGCAGATCAAAAGCTTTTCACTTTTGACATTCCATTCAGTCAAACTATGGCTACAAAGGAGAAAAATTAAACAACTTAAGATTGGCAGGCAATGAGAAGAATCACTTCACCATCATGCTCAGAACATATGTCACAAGGCTAAAAGGTAGGATTCTTTGTTCACATGAAAAAGGCTGGATGGATGAAGGTTACACTAAAGACTGACTGTGTAGCATGTGGTACAGAGGCTCCTCACACCACATTGTATGTTGGTCCTTGACACCTTCAGGTGTCATAGAATGATCTGCATCAAGGAGTTCCTAGATGAAAACCTCACAGATCTTGTCATCATTCCTGGGGTATGGCAAGCCAGTTGCAAGTGATGGACTTTGGCTGCAACAGACTGTTTAAACCTCAAATGTGCCAAAAGTGGAACTAGTGGTTCTACTCTGGAGTTTTAACACTTAAGATTGACAGGCAATGAGACGAATCACTTCACCATCATGCTCAGAAAATATGTCACAAGGCTAAAAGGTAGGATTGACCTATTGCTTATTGCTTGATGTATCAAAGAATCCTGGAATGCCATTGATCCCAATATGATTGTGCATGGCTTTAAAAAACATTGCCTCACAAATGCTACAGATAGGTTAGAGGCAAACATCCTCTGGGATGACAATGCTGCTGTGGTAGATAACAAAGATGAAGACTATGTCTGAGATGGTGCCATTTACAGCAATAATTTGAATTTGAAGGTTTCACTGAAAATGATTTGTAATTTTCAATATCAGATGTAATGTAGTCATATCTAGTTTTGCATTTCGAAACATTTCTAAGTGTGCATGTAAATAAGTCTTAAAAATCACAAGACTTAGTTTCTTGATCATTTTATTTCAAGAATCATGTTTAAAAATGCTGAAAAATGAATGAAAATGGGAGACAGTTCTCATTTATGCCTTAGAAATAGAGAGAATTAATAAGGCATACCATCGAGACAAACTTTTTAGCAAGTTGCATTATCCTTCACAGTGCATATTGGAAAAGATGGTCTGGACTGGCTGTAAAATAAAACCACATTTAGGTTTTTTATTTGTATCATATGCACTCTAACTTAAAGATAAATTTTTAGTGAAAACAATGCATATTATATTTAGAAAATTATGGTAAACAAGTGAGCACTAGTTCTAGACTTAAAGTTATTATTCATGTACGATCCTAGTAGACTGTCATTAACCACCTATTGCACACTATAACGTACAAGTAATAAATGTATCTTTGTTGCTTAATACAGATACAACTTATTCATTTCTTTGGTTGAATGCTCTCGATTCCAAGTACAGTTTAAATAAGCCATAGAATTATTTTTGTTGATTCCTCAACTGAACAATATTTCACCTAGGTAACATACCCATTTATATCTTACCAAATTATATTTCACAAAACATACTCTTTATGAAATATAGACCTATTTAATTAGGAAATTCAAAAAAAAATTTCTATCTTACTTTCATAATATATGCAATAGGGTTAAACTCTTTATTTTAATGCTTAAATTCTTTTTTTTCTCATAAAAGTATTGTATTGTTTGTAATTAAGCACAAAGCTACACAATGGGCTATCTGTGTTCTGCCCACCACAGGTACCAAAACTCGGATTCTAGCATTGTAAGTCCGCAGACATACCGCTGTGCCACTGGGAGGCGACTCATAAAAGTACATGATTGTATTTACTAAAATTGGTTTATCTTAATGAATAAACATATAATTTAACTAAAAAAACTTATCATTGAATGTTTATGTTAAGTATTTCTCTTCTCATGCATACAGATGAGAATCTGCATTATTAAGTTGCATGATTATTTCATTATGTCAGAGTATTCAAAATGTTATAAAATTCATAAGAATAAAACTATACACAGAGGTAAATTAAAAATGGTGGGGCTATATTTCTCCAAGCAAGGCGAGGGAATGTGTGCCACAGGCACATCCATTATGACCATGGTCCAGGTCTCACATTAGGACCCTGGAAGTTCTTAGGTTCTGGGTTGATTTTGTGCATTATTCTGCCTTTCCTGAGAGTAATTTGTCTAGTTTGATGCATTTTTATTGGGATAGATTGAAAAGTAGGAGGGCCTGGGTCCACCTTTCTTACGTCACAAAGCACAACAACATTACTTCATTTTAACCATCTCTCGCTTTACACTGAGAATGTGTTCTGTGTATAGTGAATCCAGTTTTACATAGTAAAAGGGAGTTAGGTTCCAAACCCCTTCAAATCTCCTCCCCTAGACCTAGTATTTCAACTTTTATCATCTCTGTAATGCACATACAAAACTCAAACATATCATGCATCTGTGCTTGCATGATGCACTGTGATACACACAGAGCTGTGCATATATTGAAAATTAGTAAAAAAACATAAATGAAAATCTATTAAGCTTAGCTTTTTAATGCTCTTAGTGGGTAAAAACCTGTTCTCACTATAAGCATGAAATATAAATACAGTCTATAGCCCTTCAATATAAATTGTTAGCTTTTTTATATTGGTAACTGAACTAATAAATTTGCTTATTCTTTACCTTTTTACTTCTCAATAATTTTATTTCTTTTCAGATCAATCTGAGTATCTGTGAGCTGCACTGTATTTTCCAAATTTTTGGTAGTAAAACAAAACGAAAAATACCATGCAAGTTCAAATCCATGTAAAAAAAAACATGTAAAGTAAGGGCAATTGTACTTATATAATCATCTGTTATCCACCTACTCCCAAATTTCTGTTTGTGATGTTGGTGTAAGTGTGGTATACCATGCTTTTCTATCATAATGTTATATTTATCCTGAACCTATTCTGTGTTCTGTATATGTGAAGGTTTCACATAGCATGTGGTTGAAAAAGCTGTTCAGTTGATTTTGTTCTAGCTTTCCTTGGTCCTTTGTTATTCTCATGTGAATAATACTTGTTACTTGTTCTGCCCAGGTGAAGGATATTGTTGCAATACTGCATGTTGTGGAAGGCTGTCGACAGCAGTGTTTTACAATGGCAGTGCAGGTGAAGTCTAGAGGTTATGGCTTCACCTATGTTGGAATGAGAATGACCAGTCGTGTGGGTGATACTAATGACTCTGGGTAAATGCAATGTTTCTTGAAAACTAAGGAATGTTGGATTTAGTCAGCCTGGAACAGAATCTTGAAGGAAAAGCAGCTAAGAGAATCCAGTGTTTGTTTTGAATTTCACGTTATCTGTGCTAGTTGTCCCTAATTTAGCAGTGTCCACTTAACTGTAGATTTTGACAGGATATCGATCACGAAGTAATGCTAAATCTCTTACTAACTGAGTCATTGTTAAATGGAATAATGAGACTGGACACATGGTGATGCAAAATGAACAGTTTTTGTTACAACACTAAATACAATGTGTAGACTTGCTTTTACTTACAGAGAAGTGTCACTATCACTGGATTCTCTGGCCAGGTGGTTAAGGCGCTTGACTTGCAACCTGAGGGTCGCGGGTTCAAATCCCTGTCCTACCAAACATACTCGCCCTTGGAGCCATGGAGGCGTTATAATGTGACAGTCAATCTTACTATTCATTGGTAAAAGAGTAGCCCAAGAGTTAACGGTGGGTGGTGATGACTAGTTGCTTTCCCTCTAGTTTTACCTACCCAACTGCTTGACAATTAACTCAGTTTTATGTGATAATATATAGACACATAATGCACACAAAAAAACCTGTATGTCTGTCTGTTTGTACTTTATCTAACTACTTCTAGGTTACTGGGCCAATCTCAACCAAGCTTTGTGGGATGATAGTTTGGAACAAGGTTTGGTTTTGAATTTATTATCAGTAATATAATTTTTTTTTCACAACACAAGAAGCAAGTCCTTTCCAAAGGATGGGTCCCTATAAAGGCCATTTTTGGTTCTAGAACCCAGTGAATAATAAAGTACTGAGAAAGTTAACAGTATGTATTGCACTTAGTTATCCAGGTACCATCCTTCCTCTTAGCAAGTCAATATAAGACTTGGGTAACATGTTTGGGGTGCATATTATGAATACTGTATCAGTTTCTGCCAGTAAGTACTCGTTAACATCACATCTGTACTTTATGCTGGTTATAAAAATAATACTGTGATTTTATGTATGTGTTTCATTTTACATTTCTCCCTTAATAAAACCTTGATAAAGTAAACAAAGGTGTTTTTGTAGTTAGTACATACCAGGCTATTGTGTGTTCCAGTGACTGACATTCATAGTAGGGTCATTAAAGGGCCCTTATGGGGATCCATTTTTTCCATATCCAAGGCTGATATCTTTACACTTCTCAATATCAAAACTTATCTTCACATCGTTAGCCTATTCACTCAAAGTGTCAAAACCTTTTTTCATATATAACTTAAAAGTTCTATTCTCAACAAAGTCAGTTCTTCTCAACATTTTTGTGTAATAGCAAATGTAGAAATATTACTACCCACAAAGTTCTCCAAATCAATAGCATAAATAATGAGCAATAAAGGCACCAAAACAGATCTCTGTGGAACCCCACTAGTCACATTCTCCCAGTTGGAAAAACAAATGCCAAAAAGCTAAGTAGTACATCATCTACATGCTCAGAAGATGCCATTCATTTTTCTGGTGTGCCATATGCGAAAAATGTTTTTGAGATACAACTTACATAAAATACACACCCACCCTTCAGAAAAAGTAAATACTTAAATCCAACCTTTTCAGAAAGCTATTGGTTCCCTTTGATCTTATAAAGTGTTGGGTTCCACTGCTGCCTCTGGCAACTCATTCCATACGCCAATCACCCTGTTAGAAAAATAACTGTATTAAATGGAGTCTAATATTTTTTTTCTAAATCTTAAATGTTTAGCAGTCAGGCCATTTACATTGTACAGTATTGAATAATTCAATGATACTTTTAATTTTATCAAGGTTTTAAGTTAGATATTGAAGCTGATACCAAATTATTCCAATTGTGATGGTCTTTGGGAATTTTTTTATTCACAGAAATTACCCTTATTAATTATCAAAATTAGATTTAATAAAATTCTAAACAAAACATTTTGCCTTTTTTTCGGCTATTACTGTGCATTAAAAGGCTGAGTGAAGCACAATGTTACAGGTCTGCAGCAAGATCTTCTATTTTACGGAAAATATATTACTAGTTAATTATGAATTTTAAAGAAGTTTTGTGGAATTGCTGAAGTTGTCTTCTCATTTGTTTACAACAGTATACACACCCAATTCCTATCTTTAAACATTTGTCAGTTATGAACATATACTTTACCATGAAAATTATAGTTAATTCTTCAGGACTTTCATTTGATTCTTAACTATTTTTTCAAAGATTCTGGAGAATTCATCACTTGTAAGCCTTGTGTGATGTATCCATACATGTTTGATCTGGGATTCTGGTCACTGATGTGCAAGTTTTCTTTTATTTTTTTCCTGCAGACTTTGGACAAAGTAAGATGTTATTCAAGTGACATATATATGAATACAATGTATACGTTTAGTCTTGGAAAAGTATTCAGTTAAAAATTGGCACAAGTTTACTAAAAGTCACTAACACTAAAAGATGACAACAGGAAAGAAGCTGCAGCTTATGTTTAGGGGGTTCTGATTTTCTGGTGAATTTTTCTTCTTCTTCTTCTAAATTCAGTTCAATAATATTTTAAAATCTGGTACAATTTTTTTAAATCAATACAAGTAGGTCAAAATTGGGTGAAATTATTTTATGCATAATCAAGAAACAATAAGTATCTGAGTTTCAATTGGGTTTTATTAAGAAAAGAAATGCTTAAACACAAATAAAGTAGGGCTGACTATTATCCTAGACTGAAAACACAAATTATGTTTTTGTAGCTTTGTGTTCAACTGCAAATAAACAATAAAAAAAAATTCCAAGTTGCGTAAGAAAATGTCTACTTGTTTGGTTTTGCAAACAATTTGTAATGTCTTGAGTTAAAAAAAACATTCTTAAACACCAACCAATTATTTTCAGATAGGCACTCTTTCAGTCTGAAAAAAGTAATACTTATTAAAAGCTATCAGAGAAGAAAAATCCTGGTTTTGCCACTAGTTTCTGTTGCATTTTGACTGGTTAAAAAACAAGCATAAAATACAAAAGCAGTTTATCACAATAATCTGGTTACAGAAGCCCATTAATATATATCATTTGCTGTTTAAGTGATTTTCAGATATTTTAGTACAGTCTGGTTTTTTAATATAGTGCAATTTACTAAAGGAATGCTCTACTGATGCATTTCTGGGGCTGCAGTATCCTTCTATGATCTCACTGCTAAGAAATCTGGATTGTCTGGAAAGGGTTCTGCTGTGTACTGGCTGAATTCTGAGTGTAGAGCTTCAGTTGTTACATCTTCCACTAGGGAAAACATTTCCTTGTATTGTCAGATTCTGAGCTGACTTCAGGAAAGGATCCAGCACTTTTGCTTGCATCTATACCTTCTTCACAGGGGTAGACACATTCCTTTTAGTTGTTCCATTTTTCACTCAGGACTACACACAATTCATTCATGGACTGCCTGACTTAAGCAGTGCATTTAGATGACAGTGTTCCTAAAATTACACTACACTTTTACAAATAGAAAGCTCGACTTCTGTAATGTGGTAGATTTTGTGTAGCATAACACCATCTCTCTCCAGCTATTTCTGCATAGGTAAAACCTGTTCAAACTTTCCTTATAGAAACACAAGCTTTGCATAGACTTTTTGTTACTGTTGGTGAGTGGGAATGATTTCTTTAATGTCAGATATTTTTTTGGTCAGGGTAGCCTCTCTCTTCAAGAGAGCCATCAGGCTAGCCTATATGCATATAACACACACTCTCAAAAAAACTGAACCATCTAATAGGAACAACAGTTTCAGGTTTCATTACATTTCCAATTCCAAGTTTAGCACACACTTCATTGTACAGTTGTTCTAACTTGTAGACATATCTAAACAAGGCATCAAATTTGATAACCACTTTTCTAGTACCTGACATTGTCAACCGAAACATGAATAAACTGTGCCATACCTTTGGCACGCACAAGTTTAATGACACCTTCACCAACATGTATAATCATTTACCATCATTTGTATATAGCATGCAGAATTAGATACAATTTAATGTCCCCCTTTTACAGTGTTGTAATACATATATATCATCAATGGGCTTTCCAAGTACATTTGAGGCCTCATCAACAATCATACAAACCTTATCTTTTACTTATTCTTTATTTTCATCTCAAGTTTTTGAAAGATATCAGGAAAGTAGCATACTTTGGTATTGAATTAGTTGCTGACAACATTTCTTCACTAACTATCCTAAATATATTCAGCCACACATAAACTGAAACTAGCTTTGGAAAGTGCTTCAATAAAATAGTGAACTGCACCCTGATCTTCTTCCTCTTTATTCCTATGCCTGATCTGTATTTCTATTAAAGTTTGCTACATTAATGTAGAACACCTTAATTTTCAGCTTCTTGTTTTAGAGATATGTGACATACTACAGAGGTGTTCATTTATCCCATCACATGGTTTCCTGTCTGTCAACTGATATTTTTGATCAAGAGTATTTACATACCTGGAAATCAGGATATTCTTTTACTTGGTTAACAGGTACTTTACAATTTCTGCCCATTATTGAAGAATTGTACTTATTATTATTCAGAAATAATAGAAAATACACTTTGTTAATGCCAACTGACATTAACAGTTCTACTACTAATACTACATTGAACCAGTGTCTAATAAATTTTTTTTCTGTAGTCTTTCAAGTTTCATTTCAGCTGAATGCAAATATGACTATGACAGTACGAGTCCCGCGTCTTCTACTGTTCTAGGTTCTATTGCAGATTGCAACACTGGGTATTAACTTTACTTGCACTAGTGAAGCTTTATTAATATTATTACTACAACTACAAGTTACAACTAACTCTGAATTATTTACATTCCATATGCCTAACAGTCAGTGCATAACACGACCTACTTATACTGAGTTAGTTATAATTAGTATGTTAACTATTAAGACTTAATTACTTGTTTGTTATAACTTATAGTTTTAAGTTATAGCTTATAACTTATATGTTTTAAAGCTATATATAATATTAATACCATTAAAAAAAGCCTATAATTTCATAAAAGTTTAAAACAAGCGTGTGATTTTACGATAAATGACATATGTTTAAGTTACGAGTATTTCAAAAATTTCGATTAGTACCACAAATACGATCACAATTAAAACATCATCTGATCACTATCAATGTTTTCATCATACCATCTAAAGAAATTGCGTACTTTAATTTCAGCGGTATAACCATCTCCTATTAGTCCTACGTCTGCCATCTATTGGCTGTAACATATAACAATTTTATCGAAAATAAAAATAACAATTCTATTTTAGAAATTCACAATTGATTAAAAAATAAAATTGCAGAACATTTAGTTAAAAAGCTTAAAATAATATATTGTTTATATATATTTCAATTTTTACGTAAACTTTGCTTTTCGTTACAACTTCACACCTGGTGGACAGTTGTTGATATTTTATCATTGTTGATACGGTGTGAACTAAAATTAAGATGGCAGAATTTGAAGGAGTAATTTTAAGTTCTTTATCTGAAAAGGGAGAAACTAAAAGAACTTGTCATCTCCCCTTAACATTTGTTGTTAGTGATGAAACGGAGAGATTAATTTTAAAATTTAAAAATGGTAATACCTTGTTTGATGTTTTATTAAATATGCTATTCTTAATATTAGATTAATTTTTACGGCTAATTGCCCATTTTTATAGTATAGCTAAGCCTAATCATGAATTAACCTTTTCTGAACCTTCTCCAATAATTCAATGTTCTTTCTTAAATAAGTAGATCAAACTGCACACCCAATATTAATTTTTAGTGAGGAATAACAATTTTATCGAAAATAAAAATATAAATAAATTCAAAAATTCTGTTAGCTTTGCTTCTAGCATCAGAGTACTGCCCCAATGGTTTGAGTGACATATTTATCACTATACCTTGATCCTTTTCTTTAGTTGTGCTGTTGAGTGTTTTCTGTCTGAAATATTACAAACATCTCTTCTAAATACAGATGACAAAAAAAAAGCACTTAAAAACTCAACTATCCCATTTTCTTAACAAAAATCTTGCCAATTCCCACTTTGACATTATGCCTCCATTATAAATATTAAAAAAAATTATAGTACTTAATTGTAAATTTTTATTATAAAATTTAACTTATGAATTTAATTTTAGGTTTTCTTATATTTAAAAATGTATTTAGAATATTACTTAATGCTCTGTTCGTTGAATTTTCAGGCTCATTATCAACTTAGTTGAGTGACTGTTAATGTATCTTACAGATAGAAAGCATTAATTTTATGCTACTATATTTGATAGATTGACCCTTTAAGTGTAAAAATAATGTTCATTGTATGTTAAATGTAAGTTTACAAATTACTATGGTTTGACACAATTTTTACACTGTCAGAGTATTAGACTTATGAGTGAGCCAAACTAGCCCAACAATTAAATCATGATGTATCTTCATAGTCTAAGGAGTTATTTGAAATTTATTATCCTGTTCTGTTGACTGTGGAAATAGGTAGCCATGTCCTTACATATAGCTTAGAACTCATGCCTAGTGTCTTGTATTCACATCTATAAATTACATTGAGCATTTAAATTGAAGCACATAAATCCTTTATTTTCTGAAGTAACATAGCACAGAGTTTACATGTAAACCTTTTCAGTTGCATATTTCACATTACAAAACAGGTTTTAAATGTTTTTATGAATATTTCTTCAAAAACAATTTAAGATAGGTACTTATTATTTTGTTTAATGAAATAAGCATTAGTTTAGAGATCCAATATATGGTGATGAAGATGGCAAGACTTTTCAGTTTTAGAAGAAACTTTTTATACAAAATCCAACAAAATATTGGTTTCATAAGATAAAGTATTCGGTTAATAAGATGTATAAGTAAGTTTTATGTTACATAAAGTGAAATGATGAGCTTTATTTCCTCATGTAAACAAAATGTATGTTGCTTATTTATCAACCTTCATGCCCATTGCCAACATAGATGGTTGATTGTATGAAAGAGAAATTAGGCATGAATTACCAGCTATATTTCAGAATGTTATCAATTTATCTTGCAAACTGGTCAAATTACTTTTTATTTGGATATTTATTTTCTTTCACATAATGAGTATTATTGAATTTTGTTCCTAGTATTTTACAATTATTTTATTGATTTTCTAAGTCTTATTGGCCTATAGAATAGTATTTTTTTTACGATATTGGAATTAACTAGTCAAATTTGGGTATAAATGTCAGAATATTTTTTATGTCAAGAGAGCTTTAGTCTAAAACATTCTATCCTGTTTGAATAAATTGACTTGTATATTTTGATAAAAAAATTTATTGAAAGCTCTACATGTAGTTTTATCATATGTAATGGGCTTGCATTTGGGGTCTTGTGATATTGATAGATGGCTTACAATAATTTTTGACAATTAGATCTTAATGAAGAGGGTAAAATTAACACAAGTCTGGTGGCAAATGCTCTTAAAAATTATGTCATGCATGTAAAAATTTGCATTATAGTGGTAATGATCATTAAACTGAAAAAAGTAGAAATTAGTAATTCAAGCATTAAATTTGCATTATAGCAGCCATGTAAATGTGGGCTATAGACCCACAAGTTTACTAGTTTAAATGAATATGCCTGATTGTCATAAAAGATATTGTGGCAATTTTCTTCTATTAGCTAAAACAATACTGTCATCTCTGACCAATGTAAACATTGTATATTTTTTACCACAAATTGATTACTTCATGGCTTCAAACCATTGCAAATAGAGGCTTTCTTTTGCTAAGCCTATACTGACTATTAACTTGTATGTCATTTACTGATTTCTCATTAAGTTACCAAACTGTTGTTTGATTAGGATTTGAATTTCAGCCACTGGGTTTATACAGAAAGTTCATGCAACCTACGGTTCAGTACATTGTGTTAAACAGTCTCTGTCTTGGCTATTTATTAGTCTTGTAGGGCTCTCTGTGTGTGTATAGATTGAAATAGCAATTTTGTCTTATTTATTAGTATAAGTATCACCAGTTTATATATGCTGCTGTTAAAACTAACTGAATCTCTAAAGGCATTTATTTAACCTTTTTATAATGTTATATACAATTACTATTAATATTATTGTTATTACTTACCTTATACTAGACCTGACTAACATTGCTTAATTCCAGCCAAAATGCAGAATTTTAGGTCTTTGCAATATTGATCAAGACTTGAAAGTTGGATATCTAAGCTATAGGCTTATAATACTCCATTTTATTATCATTCATGTAGTATAAATGCAACTTTCTATTAATATATAGATTCTATGAATCTGTGCAATAGAACCACAAGATTTAGGCCTAAATGAATTATAATGAGCCTATACAACACCTCGATTTGATATTTATGCTTGTCACTACTTAGGTCCAAGTCCAGATGTAAGTCATTCTGCAGGCTACCCTACTAAGCTGTGCCATTTTCAGTCATGTGGCAGCATTTGGTTCATGTAGGAAAAACCCAAGATGTTATGTTGGCTGTGATAGCATTGGGTGTTTGTTGTGAATGCTTAATAATAAATGGGCACATGACTCCTTTGGAGGTAAATTTTTTTTTGCCACCGAAAATATCTTGATGACTGTGTCTGAGTGGCATTTAAAAAGAAAAGTAACCATATGCTGTAATAGCTTATTAAAAAAATGTTTTATACTTATTTGCATAAGCATTTTTTCCTAAACAGAGTAATTAATTGAAATAACAATGACTGAGAAATAGGGATTTGAAACAGATAGCCAAGACTTTATCCATGACTCAAGTTATTAAGTACTTGAATTAAATATAAGATTGATGTTACTTCATCATTAAACAGATTTCAGCATTCCAGCTTGTCATAATCTTTTATTCATCTTTCACTGTTTACAGATATCTAGTCTAGATATTGCTTTTACAATCAGAATGTCTCAATTATAAATTTTTAGAAGGCTCTTGTAGACATTGCTATGTAGAAAGCTTGTGTAAATGAATAAAATTATAATCAAATCTATATGATAGTGCTTATATTCTAGCTTGAAACACTTAGCTATAAAAATAGTTAAAGAACACTTGCAACATTGTGATAATGAGATGCTATGTTGTAAACTGACAATGAGAAGAGTGCATTAAGCCATCAGTGAACAGAATGCACTTAAGCATTAGATGAAAGTATTGACACTTTTTTCTGTTCTTAAATAGTGAAATTTCCTTATAGATCAATTACATAACATTTGTTTCAATGCTATGTAAGAACATCACTGTTATTAAAGAAAAATAGAACAAGCTTACAATTTGAGGAAAAGCAGAAGCACCTAAATCAGTTCATTTATAATTGGCTTCAGTTTAGCAGTCATTAAACGTGAATAATTAATTACTTAAATTAATAGAATTTGATGCTCTTCCACTATGTAAATTGTAAACTTGCTCCAGATATAATTAATTACAAGCTGAGCATTCTATCATTTCAAAATGTTATTTTTTATTTTATACTTTTACAGCTGTAAAAAATGGTCCTAAATCTGTTTTTGAAATTCACCTGCAAAAAGATGAAGATACTGCAGCTGTTGGGACCCAGTCTTATGTCATCACAAAAGATGGCAGTAGCCTTCTTGTTCAGTTTTCGGAAAAATCTGGTTAGTTTGTCAAATGACATTTGTAGTTGGGGAAGCTCTCTTATAAAAAGGTGGACTGATTATTTTTAGTAAAAATTTGTCACATATGCATGAAGCCTTTTTTATTAATTCATACATTTTCATCTTTATTGATATTTACCTAATCTAACTTGTTATGCAAATTGTGTTCAAGTGGTAAATTGTTTAGCATATACAAATTGAAAGAGGCCTTTTATATGTGGTAAAGTATCAGTAAAGCTTAAGATTCCAATTTTATTAAAAATAAAAATATTAAAATCACCCAGATACATTTGGGGTAAGATTTATAATTATATAAACCAAATTTTGGAACAAAAAAATCTTTAAAAAAAAGTTACTAAAAAAAATAGACCAAGTATTCAGAATTTTTAGGTAAACTGTTTAATATACAGAATTCAGACTAAGTTGTGACTTGCAAAATAAACTGACAGCAAATAAAATAAGTGTTGGAAAGTCAACTCAATTTTAGGTCTCTAAAAAAGGTTCTTCACAAGAAAACTGATGAGGCATTGTATTATTTTAATGATCTTTTCTCTAAATACATACTCCATCCTAATTATATATATATATAAAATAATCAAGTTAATTGCTTTAAAAAGAGACATTATTAACCTAACATTTGTACTGAAGTAAATTTGTGAACCTGTAATTACAAAATTTACTTCCAACAGTTTGCAGATTTGTCTTTATGTTAGTATAATTTTTTCGTAATTGTTTGAAAAGGTTTTAATTTTTTGTTTGTAGATTTTCAGAGGTTCCATCAGATTATACAAAAATTTAAGAAAAGAGCTAAAGATTCCGTTTTTTCACAAAGAACAGATGATGCCTCAGCAGTACAGTATTTTCAGGTGTTTAATTTTTTCTGTCTGCATGTTGTGGTGTTATTATAAGAATATACAAAATATAGTTTAAATACAGGATCAGAAAAATATAATAAAAATTAAAAAAAAAGAAATTTAGTCAATATTATTATATTTTTGCATTCATTATTTAACTTCATAAAGTGTCAGGATTCCTGTGTATTTGTGTTGTTGTTTCATTTTATTTTTAAGAAAATAAAACATAACTTCATTCTTTCTTATGGTTTGAAATTTTAGTTCCCTTGAAAATGAAATCTGTTTTCATACTGCACCATTAAATTTGGAAATTTATGGGATTACATAATGAAAACCTATAATTAATAATATCTGTGACAAGCATAACTTTACAACTTTATTTTTCAGTTCTATGGCTATCTTTCCCAACAACAAAATATGATGCAAGACTATATTCGAACCTCGACATACCAAAGAGCAATTTTATCTAATGTGGAAGATTTCAAGGACAAGGTAATAATTTTTAATATGAATCTCTAAGGGCATTATAAGGGTCATCTGTAAATCAAATTGACACGGTTATTTGCTGCTGAGGGTCACTTAATTATGATAATCAGTATTGGTAACATGATTGATTAGAATTGTTTAAAAACAAGAAAAATGTCACATTAGTTGTGATATTTAATCTTTCAATCTCAGCAAAATATCTGGATTAAAATGCTTTTCCAATAACTGTTAATAAAAGAATGCTGCATGCTAAAAATCGGGTGAGAGCCACTTGTGGCTCATGAACCAACTATTGGGGACAAAGATATATATAGCATCCGAAATAGGATTACATTTGAATGAAAAACCAGTTTTTACTGGATTTAGTGCTTCATTCTGAAAATTTTTAATCTTTGATCAAATGATGAACATACAACCTATGTTTATGATTAGTTTATCAGTTAGGTAATATAGCATTTCTTAATATTCATTAACTGTGCAATCACTAGTTAGTACAATTGCTGTTATAAGCTGTAGGCCTCCTTTTGGTTGAAACTTTATGCAGCTAGTAATACATTACCTTATTTGTGTGTAGGCTATTTTTTAGTAGAAAGGTTGTTATAGTGATAATATGGTTATTAGAAAATCAGCTGTTTTTTATATTAAAGTACAGGCAGAAAAAGTAGAAAATTTTTATGGTAAAAAAATAAAAATTGTTACAGGAAAATATAAAGTTAATATTCAAGTCTCATTGTTTGCTCTTGGTTTAAAAGTAAAATTAAAAAATAAATGGATTTAACCTTTAAAATTTTACGTTTATGCAAAAGTGTGTCAATAAGATGTTTCAGAATTCACTGATCTGTCAGAAAGTATGATTCTTAATACTATTAGCTAAGTCACCATTGTTAGCTACTATTGAAATGGGAGGCTGATTATAATTTTGTTAATACAAATAGTTCAAAAATAATAATTCTTAAGTACCAAGTATTTGTTATTGGCTGAACTAAAAAAAATATTGGATAGAATTTTAAGATTTTATGGAAAATTCCTTTTATTTAAGTATAGTTTAAAATACAAAAATAATGAAAAATCATTGAAGGCATAAAAAGTAGAGGTAGAAATAATACATTTTGTATTATGTAGCAAATGTATTTTGTAATGATTTGTGGTTAATATTTAAAAATCATATTGAATATTTACTGTGTAATAATCAACTTTAGAAATTGGTAATTTTTGTTTTTATAGTTGTGAAATAAAACGTATGTTAGAACAGGTACTGTCAGTAGAATTTCTGTTATATGGAGTTAAAAAAAAGGGTTTTAAAGTCTTGCAAACTACTAGATTTTTCCTACTCTAGAGTGAAATATACTGGTACAGAATTACAATTATTTTATTCTGAGATTTAAGTGCACTTCTGATAAAGTATTATATTATTTTTGACCTTGATAAAAGAGTTAGCACAAAGGATCACATATAAAGTGTAATAAACTTAAAATAAGACCCAAATCTCGAGCGCTTTCGAATAGTTGACTATTCTTTGTTCTCCTGAAGAAGAATAGTCAACTATTTGAAAGCGCTTGAGTTTTGGGTCGTATTTTAAGTTTAATATTATTTTTGAAATGTTAAAGCAGTAAATCTGTAAAAGAAATTCTCAAGTAAAAAAACAATAAAAAACGTTCATTAAGCTTAGTGGTTTGAAGGTAGTTTATGTGGAAATTCTCAAGTAAAAAAAACAACGAAAAACAATCATTAAGCTTGGTGGCTTGAAAGTAGTTTATGTGGAAGTCTTAATTGATTAGCTTATTCATAAGTGTATATGATATGTGTTGATATGTTTATAGTAATTTTGCTGAAGCAAGAGTATAAATGTGTGATTTGTTTAACCTTAAGTCAACAGTATAGGTCCATTGGACCAACTTCATAATATGGAAAGCTATACATAGGATTGTTTACTGTAATTTTGATTTTGAAACAGTACTACCTTGGTTTGCACTCTAAGTATTGCTAAAATTTTCAAAAGTACACCAGTCTGTTATACCGCTTCATTTTGGTGCCATTGCAGCAACATGTGCTGATCACGTGACTGCTCTTCACCAATTATACTGCATCATCTATACTGGCACAGGTAGCTTCCTCTACCATTGCAGCACAATCCTCACATTTTTGATTGGCATTCTAGTGTATATAGGAGTGTCTTAAATCATTCTCCATGTGACTACAAAATTTTGATTGTGCTTGATCACAAGTTTATATCAGTTTCAACTTCAATTTTTGACTTCTTGTGTTTAATTTCCATTGTTTCTACTCATTTGTTTTTGAAATGTTTCTGTTTTCCAAATTGTACTTTGTTCAAATGAATTTGAAATTTAATATGGCAGATGATAAAATTCCTGCCATAATTTGACAGTGATTCTGATACTGGTCCCCAGTTCTCAGGGTGGACTATGTCTGCTGGGGAAGCACAGGCTTTAGTTCATGGGAGTTTGTGTCTTGTGTTCAGCCGGCAATTTTTCCTTTAAATTACAATTTTTGTGCAGAGGGATAGACCTACTGTGTGGAAAGTTTCTTTCTATGGCACTTTCCACCTGATACCAAGCCTCCTCATAATCTGCTGGGTTAGGTATTGTTCTTTTTCCCAGGAGATCTGTGGTAAGTATTTCTCACTCCCCATAGGTACACCCATGTTCAATGAGTTTATATGAGCTTGTGTAGATGGACCTAAGTTCCACACTCGATAATTTAGATAATTCATGTCTTCTTCGCTTAGTATTGGGTAAGTTAGAATTTTATACTTCTTTTACCATCTAGGTTACTTTAGTTTAAACTTACATTTGTAGTTATTCCTTTATTTTTATATCTTTTCACTGTGAATGTTATTTAGTTTGTAAGTTCTTTTTTCTTTATTACTAGTCACATCTAATTGGGGATTGGTTTTGAGTCAAACTTTGTTATTATTAACTTGGTGCCTTTTTATCTCATGTTCTTCAGGATAGGTTTTATTTTTGTTTTCTTTGTCATATAGATTCTTTGAGTGGACTCGCACATTAGGTGTTACTTATTGTTTTATGTTGAATTTCATAGTTTTGTAGGTTTGTTCTTTTTATGTACTTTGTAGTCTACATGTTTCTAAGTTTTTTAGTAGGTTTTTTTGTAGGTTTGTTCTTTTTATGTACTTCGTAGACTACATGTTTCTTTACATCGTTAGTAAGGAGTACTTTCTCTAAGTTCTTTACTTTATGTGTCTTTTTGGCTACACTACATGACAATTCTGTGGTTTATATGGGTTGTATCTGAGGGCTTATGCATTTCATTTCACTCCCCCTTCTATCCACTTCCCAGATCTCCTTCCCTTCTCCTCGGGATCATATCTTGTCCAATCATCTTATAAAGTCTGTTCAAGTCCTACTACACAAAGGAGCTATTGAACAGGTGGTGCTCACTCATCCGGGATTTTACTCCTGTCTTTGTTTTGTCTCCAAAATACGGGAGTTTGGAGTTCCATCATTGCTTTGTTCTGGCTGTATCCTAATCTGGAGATACCTCACTTCACCATGGAGTCCTACCTCTTACTTCAGTGGGTTTTTTGCACCAGTGTCACATCTTTCTGTCTTCGGTTCGTCTATGAGGGTTCTGTCTTCCAATTCTGAGCACTACTGTTCTATCTTTCTTCAGCTCCACATGTGTTTTGTCAAGTGGTATGCTCTTTTGCACATCCTCTTCACTTGCTGAGTCTTTGGACTCAGCATTTCATGGATGACTGGCTTTTTTTCGCCTCTTCCTGTGCCCATTCAGTCATTCACACCTACTTCCTTTTTCAAGAAGCTGCTCGAGTGGGGTTTCTCATCAAGTTGGAGAAGTCCTTTACTACCTCCTCTCAGTATCTTATTCATTTGGGAGTTCTCATCACTTCCTGTCTTGGTCGAGCCCAGCCTTTACCACTTCTGCTCCAGGATATGTAGTGGACAGTCACGATAGCTATACCTTTTCTCTCTCTCTGCACATGAGGTTCTATCTCTTTTAGGGATGTGTGGGCTTTCTTAGAAGCTCTCATTCCCTTGGTTTGGACACACATGCATTCCCTTCATTGGATGTTTCTCGACCAGTTGAACTTTTCCTATGTTCATGTGGACCATCCATTTCCCTTCCTCCTATGATCCGGGGTGACCTTGCTTGGTGGCTTGACAGAGACTTGACCACGGTGGGGGTTCCCATTCCTCTGTCTTGTCCCACATCTCATTTGTTCACAGATGCTTCTTTGATGAGTTGGGGGGTTTTCCTTGATTCCTCAGAGATTTCAGGTAGATGATCAGTCAAGGATGCTACACTTCATATCCATATCTTGGAGCCTTTGGCAGTTCATTGGGCTCCGTATCATTTCCTCCCATCCCTGCAGGGGAGGGTGGTTATGGTTCATTCTGACAATTCCACTGTCTTCAGTTTTCTCACCAAGCAAGGGTTAACCAAGTCCATATTTCTGTCTTTTCATACTCTGGATTTCCTGGACTAGGTCAATGACCACAACATGAAGGTTCTGGTAGGTCATGGTCCTGGAGTTATGAATCTTGTTGTCAATCTCTTATCGCATTCCAACCAGGTACACCACAGAGTGGTCTCTTCATCTTCAGATATTTCTGTGGGTGTGTTCTCAATAGAGAACACTGCATAAATGTATGTGTTTCCCACTCACTGGAATGCCAAATTTCCTTCCTTTTTGGTCTCCAGTTCCTGACCCCCTAGCTCTGAGGGTGGATGCTTTCAGTCAAGATTGGAAGGGTCTTCACCAATATGACACCCTCCGATCAGACTTCTCTTCTGGGTCTTTTACCTTATCCAGACCATTCTTTGGTGTGTTCTGCTACTTGCTCCGTATTGGCTGGCTCAGATGTGGTTCCCTCTGCTCTGGCCCTTACTGGTGCAACAGAGCTTGTTTTTTTCTCTGTTCTAATCACTCCTCCAACAACCACGACCTGACATTTTTCATCCCAATGTCACCACACTCCATCTTTCCATGTGACTTTTGTCTGGTC